GTGAGTAGTAGCCTTTGTTCACTTTGCTATCGTACTATTCTTTAATTCTTTCAGTCACAATCAGCGAATGATGTGTTATTATCCCGTCTGTGAATCACACTCAGCATGTAACATGTGTTCTAGTCCTTTTCAAAGCTGCTCATATCAAACTAAGTATAAAACTAATGCTCTTTGGCATCCGTGGCGCCCTCTGAGACACCCACCACTGTCTTCAGGCACAAGCCCATTTATGTCTTCCTGGGCATACTTGTTGAATGATTGAGAAAGCGTGCTTGGGGGAAAGTCTGTGTTGAATCAAGAAAGCATGTTTGAGGGAAAGTTTGTGTTGAATCATTGAGAAAGCGTGCTTGAGGGAAAGTCTGCGTTGAATCATCAAGAAAGCATGCTTGAGGGAAAGTCTGTGTTGAATCATCAAGAAAGCGTGCTTGAGGGAAAGTCTGTGTTGAATCATCAAGAAAGCATGCTTGAGGGAAAGTCTGCGTTGAATCATCAAGAAAGCGTGCTTGAGGAAAAGTCTGCGTTGAATCATCAAGAAAGCATGCTTCAGGGAAATGAAGACAAAGCTGTATGGTACACGAGAAGATATGGACTGCACGATAGCTTTCATAAAATGCTACTGGTCTCCTGATATAAGTTTTCTGACAGAAGGATCGAAGAAGAAGAAAAAGAAGAAGAAGAAGAAAAAGAAGAAGAAGAAGAAGAAGAAGAAGAAGAAGGAGAAGAACAAGAAGGAGAAGAAGAAGAAGAAGAAGAAGAAGAAGAAGAAGAAGAAGAAGAGAAGAAGAAGAAGAAGAAGAAGAAGAAGAAGAGAAGAAGAAGAAGAAGAAGAAGAAGAAGAAGAAGAAGAAGAAGAAGAAGAAGAAGAAGAAGAAGAAGAAGAAGAAGAAGAAGAAGAAGAAGAAGAAGAAGAAGAAGAAGAAGAAGAAGAAGAAGAAGAAAAAGAAGAAGAAGAAGAAGAAGAAGAAGAAGAAGAAGAAGAAGAAGAAGAAGAAGAAGAAGAAGAAGAAGAAGAAGAAGAAGAAGAAGAGAAGAAGAAGAAGAAGAAGAAGAAAAAGAAGAAGAAGAAGAAGAAGAAGAAGAAGAAGAAGAAGAAGAAGAAGAAGAAGAAGAAGAAGAAGAAGAAGAAGAAGAAGAAGAAAGAAGAAGAAGAAGAAGAAGAAGAAGAAGAAGAAGAAGAACAAGAAGAACAAGAAGGAGAAGAAGAAGAAGAAGAAGAAGAAGAAGAAGAAGAAGAAGAAGAAGAAGAAGAAAGAAGAAGAAGAAGAAGAAGAAGAAGAAGAAGAAGAAGAAGAAGAAGAAGAGAAGAAGAAGAAGAAGAAGAAGAAGAAGAAGAAGAAAAAAAAAAAGAAGAAGAAGAAGAAGAAGAAGAAGAAGAAGAAGAAGAAGAAGAAGAAGAAGAAGAAGAAGAAGAAGGAGAAGAAGAAGAAGAAGAAGAAGGAGAAGAAGAAGAAGAAGAAGAAGAAGAAGAAGAAGAAGAAGAAGAAGAAGAAGAAGAAGAAGAAGAAGAAGAAGAAGAAGAAGAAGAAGAAGAAGAAGAAGAAGAAGAAGAAGAAGAAAAAAAGAAGAAGAAGAAGAAAAAAAGAAGAAGAAGAAGAAAGAAGAAGAAGAAGAAGAAGAAGAAGAAGAAGAAGAAGAAGAAGAAGAAGAAGAAGAAGAAGAAGAAGAAGAAGAAGAAGAAGAAGAAGAAGAAGAAGAAGAAGAAGAAGAAGAAGAAGAAGAAGAAGAAGAAGAAGAAGAAGAAAAAGAAGAAGAAAACTATCTGCATTATTGGACCACACACTGAAAATATGGGGAGTGGGGAACTGAAGTGCGTTGGGACAATGGAAAATATGGAGAGTGGGGAACTGAAGTGCGTTGGGACAATGGAAAATATGGAGAGTGGAGAACTTAAGTGCTTTGGGACAATGGAAAATATGGGGAGTGGGGAACTGAAGTGCGTTGGGACAATGGAAAATATGGAGAGTGGAGAACTTAAGTGCTTTGGGACAATGGAAAATATGGGGAGTGGGGAACTGAAGTGCGTTGGGACAATGGAAAATATGGAGAGTGGAGAACTTAAGTGCTTTGGGACAATGGAAAATATGGGAAGTGGGGAACTGAAATGCGTTGGGACAATGGAAAAGTTGGAGGAGAAAAGAGACAAAGGAAGACCAAGAGAGAAAACGTTGGTCAAATATCATTGTATGGAAGTACCTCCGTGTCAGAAATGACTGAAATAACAAGACAGAGGGGGCAATGGACATACAGGACGACCAAAACCACACGGCATGGACTGTATATGAGAAGCAAGACTGTCTCTCTATACCGCTTGCCTCACGTACAGCTACCTAGCTAAATATATACAAACCTGCGTTTATGGCTCACCGTGTGGTTATAACATAAAACCAGAGATCAAATAAAGATAATTTACGCTCGCCTTGTCCATTAAAATAGACCAGGCCTGGCACAAATTGCTCCGTAACTTACAGGTCGCGTGGATCCGTGTCCAACCGCCCCGTGTACAGTTTCCATGGGTTGGGAAAGTGAGAATAAATAAAATCTGAAACAAGGAGACCAAGAAGCAGCAAGGGCGGGAACTGCACCCTGGCGCGATGTGCTAATATTCCCCAGGGCGTGTGATTACTGATAAACTCTGACTTAAATTACACTATATTTTTACTGTGAAACATGTGAAAAACACATCTAGGGCAGGGAAAGCCTCGCTAACTTTCCTACTCTACATTTTTTTTTTTTTTTTTTTAGTTTGAAGTTTACTTTGCAAGCTATAATAAATTCTCCCTTACTGATATATATGCCTGCCCCAGAACTCAGTATATTAGATTGTGGTGTTACAAAGTTTAACTTTAAAATTGTATTTGTGTTTACATAACCTAGAGGTTTAGGGGTTCAGTTTTTCTTTCCAGAAATGTTTTATTTACGTTGGATTTTTTCGTTCTAGAATTGCAGTCGTTATCGTGTTTTATTGCTGCTACGCACAGTGTGTTAAATGCGTGAACCGGCTCTCCTTTTGATGAATTATTTATTTTAAAAATCTTACGCAATTCACAGTAGAAGTAACATTATACCTTCTTATTTTTGACACTGCGTCATTGCACTAGGGACACATTCCTTACTAGCAGGCACCGAGCTGTATATAAGGATCGATGATGATCGTTTTGTGTAAAGGCAAAGGTGAGAAGATCGACTTCAATGCATCGGATTATATCCCATATGGCTCAGTCTCTCTCCGCAGACCAGCAGGCTGCCAGCCGAGAGCGTCATACAGAGCACGACCTACGTAGCTCCGGTGATGATCCCTAGAGATCTCCGTAAAAGTTGCACTCGTGAACAGAAAGGCGCCGTCGTGAAACGAACCCACGCCCTTCAGAGCGCGAGTCAAACGGCTTGACCACTTCGCCACCCAGACCGCCGATCGTTTTGCGATTGGTCAAGCTACATTGATGCAATGTTTGTTATGACATGAGTACCTTTTTCCACTTCCCCCTTAAGGGGTCGTAATCTCAAGAAGTCACTGACACCTTACCCAAACTATCTTTTATTCCTGGTACTATACCTCTTTTTTCTCTCAAGAAGTCATTGATACCTTACCGAAACTATCTTTTATTTCTGGTACTATACCTCATTTTTCTCTCAAGAAGTCATTGATACCTTACCCAAACTATCTTTTATTTCTGGTACTATACCTCATTTTTCTCTCAAGAAGTCATTGATACCTTTCCCAAACTATCTTTTATTTCTGGTACTATACCTCTTCTTTCAATCTTCAAGAAGAAAGAGGTTAGTCTAAGTCCTAGTCGGGGTATCAACTTCAATGCAAACGTGTTTCCCCATACTTGCTCCGTTCCTGTGCCAGTGAAAATAAAATGAAATGTCCCTCACTGTCGCATTTGAAAAACTGGCGAACAAACAACTATTCTCGGAACAATCCAGAAATATGCGCACGCCTTAAATGAAAATCTCAGTTGCTAGAAGCGCCAACGCCAACAGTCGCCACCAGAAATGCAGTTTGTCATTGATGGAAGTAGTCGGACACGATAAGTTGGCCACTATAGACACGTAAAATTGTTACAAAAGATATTTCACCAGCTCACACGAAAAGATAGCAGCATTGGGAGCTACAATCATCTGTTTTCTTATTTATCTGCTCACATTCAGTTAATGAATGATTCAATCAACCAATCAATGAGATACTGATTCCACAATACATTTTCACTTTGTGTATGTCCAGTACCCCCAACCTATCTCAGTCTATTGTGATTGGCCCCTTTCCGTCTTTGCAGACGATAATGTTATATTGTGCGTTGAGGAGGCAGGAGACTCACAGCCCCCGACTCATCCTCTCCATAGCACAATGCCTAAGAAATATTGTAGAGACCATATGTTGCCCATGCACCATGATCCTTTCCTTGACCTGCCTTGTTTACTAGAAAGGAAAGGTAAAACTAGTATGTTTGGAACAAAGCAAGGTTGCACAAGTTGCTGGATCAGAAGAGCAGTGGTCTATCTGTCCTGATCTATTGTATACGTTTAATAATTGCATCGTCCCCATATGGGATGCAATTTTTAGTTATTTTGATGCCTCACTCTGGCTTTTTTTCTGGGGGCCCTAAATATAGCTGGGTCTTAAATGTGGCCTAACGTCTAAACGGGGTTTCCGGGACTTCTCCACTGGTGATTCTCATCCGCATGGTGGCATTTTGTGTCACCGGGTATTTATCGCTTGTGTGATGTCCTAGTGGGAAACAACTTACCTACCTACCTACCTCCCTTCCTACCTACCTACCTACCTCAATCTATTGTGCATCCGTTCCCAAATTTGAGCCCAAAAACTCTAACAAATATCTCGACTGCACATATCAACACGAATGTGTGCGCATGGACTTAGATTTCCCATGCCCTTATAATTATTTCCTAACTTGCATTTGCACAGGTACTGTGTTGTCCTACAGCAGCGCATTTCTTTGAATTTTGTCGGACTAATAATATGTATGCCCTAAAAT